CATCAACAGCACCCACGGTTCAGAGGACAGCAGGGAACTGAGCCTTGGTCAGCAAAAAATGAGCCTGCGACGACATGTCAGGGTTGCTCAATGTTTTAAATATTGCACAAATATCGTTTTATTGTTCTCTGATTCACTGATTGATAGAACACAATAATGTATCTGCCTGCACCAGGTTCATCGACAGAGGCATCTCGTTTCCCCTTTTTGCCTCTTTTAACATTTTCTAACATGAGCCATCCTTCACAGTCAGACATCCTCTGAAGTGACATCATTTACTGGGGACTGACGGATTGCTCATTCGCCTGTGAGCTGGATGAAATGATGATAATGATAAATGCAAAAAGAGCTGCTTTTTAAAAAACAAATAACAGTGTGACATTTTTCTTTCCTGTGTTTGATCACTTATTATGTGTTTGTCCATATTTATCACAGCAACACCAGTTACAGGCTCTGATTCCAGATATTGTTGAGTTTATATGGTAACAAAATGGTACTTTGTTATTATAAAGAAAAGGTTATTTCTGTAATTTATTCTTAATTAATAAGAGTACTGATAAAGTTGGAGAGCAATAACCAGTTTCAGGAACCGTAGCCTTTGCAATTTTTGCTGAACAGCGACAATCGTGGCCACAGGTAACAATTTCAGGAACATGCTGAAACGTGATGAAACAAGTATAACATGGTGAATTTGCAATATCAGGAATATCTTCACATGAGTGACTTAAAAAAAGCTATTTAACTCGCCAGTGTACAGTCTTTTATTTTCCTGATTTATGTTTGAATTGTCACAATTGGGAGTCCGTATCTTTCCAGAAGCCTGAGCCCATCACCTTGGCTGAAGGCTTGGCTCGCTCATTGTAGTCCCCACAAAAGCTGGATGTGTGGGAATACTATGGATTTCCAACTAAACAATGACAAAGAGATGAAGTCCCTATCTGTGATGCAGTAAAAATATAGATAAAGTGATTCCAGTACGTTTTTAATGATTATGATTAATGATTATCACGATAATATTGTGAATCCCAATTATTTTGGGCAGGATAATTGTGACATGAAATGTTAGTATCGTCCCTGACACTAAGTAATGTCAGGTACACAGCAATATCTACTTTAAGTTTTCTTAACATTAGCTAACATTAGCCCCTGAGTGTATTGTGTAAAGTAGGAGTGTCTTATTGCTAATAAACTGACCGTTTCGGTTGTAAAAGGAAGTTTTGTTTCTTGTTTCAGAAGTTACATAGTCACACTTTAGCCTGGGATTTTATCAGTTCAGTTGAAGTTTATTGCACAGTCGTGACATTGCACACTTTTCCAAGAATCCCATCGTTATCAATACCTATAATGGATTATACTGATAGCTCAGTGGATTCCACAAAGACAGCGTTAGAAGAATCTAAGTTAACTGATACAAGAAGGGTTATGTTAGAGTTGACATCGTTGAACCTGCTCGACCTGAATACTGTGTGTGTGTGTGTGTGTGTGTGTGTGTGTGTGTGTGTGTGTGTGTGTGTGTGTGTGTGTGTGTGTGTGTGTGTGTGTGTGTGTGTGTGTGTGTGTGTGTAATATTAAAACAAATGATGGACATGTTCGACTAATGTAAAGATGTGGTGTGTGCTGTGTGTACGTGTGTGTGTGCTCAACACTTAAAAAAAAAAATAATTGGGGGGGGGGGGGGGGGGTGTGTGTGTAAATAATTAAAACAAAATGATGGACATGTTCAGACTCAGCCAGAAATGTAAAGATGCTGCAGTTTGCCCTGCCTGTTTGTACATGTGGGTGAGCTCAACACTGAAACAGCAGCAGAAATAAACGCATTACACGCTGTAGATTACCTTTTTTTTTGTGTGTGTGTGTGTGTGTGTGTGTGTGTGGTTGCATGAATGTGAGGCACGTCCACTAGCTGCGTGTGTGTGTCATGTGTGACTGACCATTGTAAGACCAAACAGCCTGATGCTCGTACTGAACCTTGACCCTCGTGACCTTTCGTGTGCCGTCAAGCTATTTACTGCGTGTGTGTGTATGGAGAGTGTGTTTGCGTGGGGGAGGGGGCGTGCGTGTTGTGCGTGTTAAAATGTGTGTGCTCAGCAGTAGCAGTGGTGAAGCGGGTCCACCCTCTCTGATTGATTTTTAAAGGTTCCTTTTTCAAGGGGTCAGAGGTCACAGTGCTGGAACAATAAGTAGATTACAAATGTCACTTTTCCTCCACCGGCCCCATTCATCACCCGTTTATAGTGTGTGTGTGTGTGTGTGTGTGTGTGTGTGTGTGTGTGTGTGTGTGTGTGTGTGTGTGTGTGTGTGTGTGTGTGTGTGTGTGTGTGTGTGTGTGTGTGTGTGTGTGTGTGTGTGTGTCTGCTGAAATTGTCACTGTATGTATGTGCATGTATGAATATATGTACTATATATGTGTGTGTTTGAGGCTCTCTGTACTGGGGGGAGGGGTTATGTTGTCTAATCTATTTTGGGTGACACCCCCTCCCTCCCTGACTGTTGCTGTAGATATATAAGCCCTCTGCAGCCTCACAATCTTTTCCTCACTCTTGTGTTAGCTGACACAGCAGACCCAAGGTAAGCTTGTGTGTGTGTGTGTGTGTGTGTGTGTGTGTGTGTGTGTGTGTGTGTGTGTGTGTGTGTGTGTGTGTGTGTAAATGGTTATACTTCAGGCTGTAGCCAATTTTGATTCTGTAAAAAAAAAAAGTGCTACAAATTCTTCCTTTTAAAGGGAGTAAACGAAATCCCCCTGAATGTCTTCTCTTGTTATTATGATGCTTTGACCTTTGACCCCTCTAATTGCTGCTTGTAATCTTAATCCGGATTGGAGGCTTTTTCCCCAGAACACCTTATTTCTGGTAGATTTTAATGATGTAACCCGCTCTCGCTAAGAAGATCACGTCTTTTAAACTCTGCAAGAATAGAAAAAAGTAAACCACAGCAATGTGACCGCACATCTGGCAGTGTCACATTCAGCGTCTTCACAGTTTATTTGCATTGAACAGTCGATAGTATAGAAGTGTTTCATGTTTTCAGAATCTCCAGTTCGCTCAAAGGAAGAGCAGGTTTGAATTTCACTGCCGTCAGGGGAACACGCCCTCTAAAACTCTGCTTTTCTTTTCACGTTTGTTCCTAAACTACGTGCTTTGTGACCCTGTACTGTCAGTGCCGGTCATCCCTATGGCAACGCATTCACAAACTGTATATTAACAAGAAGTAAGAGGGTGTCGGACCCTAAAAAGTCTTTACTAAGCAGATGTGAAGTTTAGGGTGTTTTTGTGGGGGTCTTTGCGTGCTTAGATAAGTGTGTCTGTGTGTTTGTGTGCGAGAGGCTTATTAGAGAGTCGACTGGAACCAATTAAAGAACTAAGTTTTGTTTTTAGCTCGCTGGGTGTGATTCTGTTTCCGTATGATCCGAGTAATTTATGAGGTAATATGAAGCCGGACGCTGAATATGTAATACTGGAGGAAGTTGTGCAGGGTGGGGGTGTGTGTTTTGGGGGTGGGGTGTTTACTGTGTGTTTGTGTTTGTGTGTTTCCAGTTATTTGCTCTTCACCAGCGCAGTGTGCATCTAATACTGTATGCACTGTGTTGGTGCCCTCAGCTGACACCAGAAAGAGCTTTTAAGCTGTTATAGAAATCTTTTATGCATTAATAGATGCTAAAAAGTTGATCGATAGCCGTCACTCTTCCAAAATTCATCAAAAGCAACATTACAAAAAACACCAAAACATCTAGCATTACTGAATGTTCATCTGTTACCAGCCAATAAACAACAACAACAAACAATGACAGCAAAATTTTGGGTTGAGGCATATTCAGATATCTTTATCTTGTAATAAGATTATTTAAAAACCATTTCCTGCCAGTAATTATCCTCGTATTGGTACATAACCTTCCTTACCCGTGTAATAAGAGCTGTTTTGTTAAGCCACACTGTTACACAACAGGCTGGTTCAGCTTCTTACCCCACACACACACATTCCCTCCAGAGCTGCGTGTGAGGCATACCGAGCCTGCAGGCGGCTTTCAGACAGATGCTGAGGCCGGTTTGCTGTAGTCGACTGTCCTGGTGCGGCTCACTTTGGACTGTCCACGGTCACTTACACCTGCATGTAAAAGAAATGTGTCCCTCTTGTCCAAGTGGTGGAGGGGAACACACAAACCTCTAAAACAGCAGATATTTAGTTTTCTGAAATTCACATCAAGGTGACAAACCTCCTCCCAATCCTCTACAATAGATTTTTCTCCCTGTCCTACTTTGGTTCCACCAAACCCAGAAGTTGCCTAGTTTATTGTTGATCTGCGAGGACACAAACTGAGTGCAGCTATCCTGTCTCAGAAACAATACTTCTGACTCAGCTTCGTCCCCTAATGATGGACGCAAACTTTCTTTAAACGTTTGCTTGTTCCTTCGAGGTTTCACCTAAAAGTTGTGTTGTAATGAGGAGCTTTGAACAGATTTTGCTCCGCTGAGGCAAAACTCGTGTTGATGAGATGAAGTTAGGAGAAAGGCTGAAGTTCACCTCCTCTCTGCAGGGTATAACTGCGACTGTTTGTGTGGTCATTCAGCTCGTTACACAACACCGACAGATTCTAAACATCAGCTGTTTCACCACCCTGATACCCCCCCTCCAGGAAAGTGTGTATGTCTGGACCCGGGAACGGTGTGTTCAGATACACTGAAAACCACACTGAGTCCAATCCTAGTTTCACATGTAGTCTTCATACCCCTCAACACACATGCATACATCAAATACCTCAGTGTAAATCAGCCCTGCACACAACCTCTGCTGTGCTGCCCTCCTCTTCATACCAGCATAGATAACCTGCAGGCCGCAGACCTTCAGGGAACTTTTAAAGTAGAAGCAGCTGTTGAGGAGTTGAGACAGCCATGCTGATCCAATATCTTTCTTGCTGTGTTTTATAGTTTTCCTGTAGAGGAATGTTAGAGGAATGTTAAAACACCAGTCTTTAATAACCACTCTCTCTCTCTCTCTCCCTCCAGATGCCTCAGTTTGAGAAGACGACGGTCCACATGAGGGACCCTGAGAGGGTGGAGCAGATCATCTGTGGCCTCATCAAAGGAGGAGCTTCCAAGCTACAGGTAGAAGTCCTGATGATGCCTTATCAGTGTTTTGGTGAAAAAGCACCTCCTGGTGGTCCTGAAGGTCACACATGTTTAGTAACTGGAAAAAAAAGTTTCTTTTTTAAGGATATCTTTGTGTCTGGTTCATGTATTTTCTCTGGTTCTGTTGCAGATCATCACAGACTTCGACATGACGTTAAGCAAGTTCGCTGTCAACGGCAAACGCTGTCCGACGTGTCACAGTAAGCACAGCAACAAAAAAACAACACGAGACATTTCTTAATGCCATGTTACAGTTTGTTTTTAATAAGCACATTTCCCTTATAAGGTGTTCTTCTGCTTCTTTGTGCAGATATCATTGACGACTGCAAGCTGGTGACAGAGGAGTGCAGGCAGAAGTTGCTGCAGCTGAAGAATAAATATTATCCCATCGAGATCGACCCTCAACTCACCATGGAGGAGAAATACCCATTCATGGTGGAGTGGTAAGACGCATGCACACAAACCTACAAACACACAGCTTTATTTTTCACACGACAAACACACACAGACCTGCTTGTGTTTCTGATCACGAGCAGCAGTGTGCAATCACCTTTCTACAGAGATAAACACTTGTACCTAAAGGCGTGTGTGTGTGTGTGTGTGTGTGTGTGTGTGTGTGTGTGTGTGTGTGTGTGTGTGTGTGTTGTTTGTGTGTGTGTGTGTGTGTGTGTGTGTGTGTGTGTGTGTGTGTGTGTGTGTGTGTGTGTGTGTGTCCGCAGGTATTTCAAGTCTCACACATTACTTGTGGAGCAGCGGCTAGAGAAAGACAAACTGTCAGAAGTGGTGAGAGAGTCGGACGCTGCACTCAGGTACCTGTTCCTCCACGCTCGCCTGGACACTCTATACATTACTGCAGTTTATTGTTGCATTGTGGGTATTTAGCTGGTGGGTGCCCCTTTTTATTTAAAATCAATATTTTAATTGTAGAACAATGTACAATTTAAAGCATTGATAATCAATTGTTATTACTGTACTGTTGGCATCCTGGGGAAAAACTTGAATGGAGATTTTCCACTTTTAGTGTGGATACTTACTATAAGTGATGATTCTCACCAACTTGTCTCTTTGTGCTCGGTATCAGGGACGGCTTTGAGCAGTTCTTCGACCGCCTGCAGCAGCACAACGTGCCTGTCTTCATCTTCTCCGCCGGCCTGGGTGACGTCCTGGAGGAAATCATCCGCCAAGCCGGAGTCTACCACCCCAACGTCAAGGTTGTCTCCAACTTCATGGACTTCGACGACAATGTGAGTCCTGCACGCCTCTGTTCTTTCGCCTGTGTTACAGCTCAGTATTAACATAATGGCTGACCATGCTGGTTCGGTCTGCTCCTCATCTCACAGGGCGTCCTGAAGGGTTTCAAAGGCGAGCTGATCCACGTGTACAACAAACACGACGGCGCCCTGCGGAACACGGAGTACTTCAAACAGCTGAAGGAGTACTGCAATATCATCCTCATGGGCGACTCGCTGGGGGATCTCAGCATGGCCGACGGAGTGCCCAATGTGGAGAACATCCTTAAGATCGGCTTCCTCAACGACAAGGTACAGCCAGTGACCATGGGTCCTAAAACATATGGAGAACGTCCTTGAACATGGAGTTGATGGCGTTCACAATCTAAGACATTGCCAATAATAATAATAATTTTAAGAGGTTAATAGTAAACAAGATTGCAGTACAAGGAAGCACCTGTAGATGGCGCTCAGCCACCAGAAAACATAAACTGGTGCTTTGAAGATCACAAGGCAGTGTTTTAACAGTTAACTGTGAAACCCATGGTTAAGGTTGTTCCCACAGCGGCTCGTTGGTCTAGGGGTATGATTCTCGCTTAGGGTGCGAGAGGTCCCGGGTTCAAATCCCGGACGAGCCCTGAAATTTTCGACCTCAAGAGCATAACATATAATTAAACAACGAATGATATGATGAGAGGCAGTTGTGTGTCTTTGCAAGCAGAACAAAATGCACAAGAGGAGTGTGAGATCTGAGAGCTTATTAGTGAACAACAAGTGATGGGTACCTTCATTCTGACTGCTTGTGTCCTGGTTAGTGACTTTAAGAATTCAGGCAAAAAGAAAAATGTCTAACTCTTAAGTACGTACCATTCGTAAGCTTACCTGTTTTCCACTGCATCTCCGTGGCGACAGCTGCTGTGGCTGCTTGGAGAGTCAGGATATGAACTGTTCTCCTCTGGTGTCTCTCTGCAGGTGGAAGAGCGACTGGACAAATACCTGGACTCTTATGACATCGTCCTGGTGAAGGACGAGACTCTGGAAGTGCCCAACGCCATCCTCCAGAAGGTTCTATAACTCCACCCACCACCCAGTCCACTCCTCTCCTCCCATCAGCCTCTTCCAGCCTCTGGCCGGTCAGACTTCTGACAGCAACCGAAACCTCTGTCGGTGGTTACCAGAGTGGTCACTATTTAACCCCTCCACTTGCTCTGGATCCCACCTGGGTCAACTTCAGACCCCCCCCACGCCACCCCCCCCACACCACCCTGTGTAAACCTTTTTAAGACATTTTACATCTCCTGAATGAACTGTTTTAAAAGTCCACACAGCGGCATCAGCCTGTCTCTGGTGTGTTTTTGTCCGTTTCTGATGTCGTTTTCTGATAAAAATAATAACCAAAAGTGAGATTAAAAACACACACCAGCTCTCACTCTATCTTTATAATTTGCACATTATTGTTCGCATTATTATTCATAGGATTATTTTTGATATGGTAATATTTGTATACCATAATACACCCACAGTGTTTTCTTTGGAGCTATCCCAGCATGCTTCAGTTCCTCAACTCTATATCACTATGAAACTGAGCCTTTGGTGTCAGACATAAAACGAGATACGTGAGAGCTCTTGCGGTTCATGGATTAGTGCATAAAGGACGTTGGAAAATGTAATTCCTAGTAAACAATGTGTTTCTATGTGACAGCAGCGATATAATGACCACAACACAGAATTAGTTTGAAGGGGAAAATCAGAGAAAACGCACTTTAAATTGGGTGTATGGGGCAGTCGGCCTGTACATGTGGCAGTAGTTTAGATTCAGGGATGTAGGAGCACGTTGTTGCACAGTAAAGCCATGTTTACATACGCCTTTTATTAATCCTAATGTGCTAATCTGGCATCATATCATCACACAGGAAGAAGCAGCTCTTTACTCTGGAAGCATTCATGGCTGACTTTTGAATTTGTGAGCTTCTCGCTGACTCAACTATCAAGTGTTCTCCATGGCAGTGTTTAAGGCTGACTTCAGTATTAAGATCAAGATTATTAAGACCTCTAGTGGTCATAAGTGGGACTTACAACAGTAAAATCCCCTCCAACCAAAGTAACCGATGAAGTGCTGCAAAATGACAATATATCTAAAGTATAGTGTAGTTCACCATTTCAGTAAACAGAAGGAAGCACCCTGCTGCCTGTGGCTCATCAGAACCCAGACCTATTCAATGTCATCACCGTCTCGTTCTGTGGTTACAATGCTGAGCACTACCTCTGAAATATTCGTCTTCAAGCTATAAAATGTCTCCGTTTGTTGCAACATGTTGAATGTTCTCTTTGTTTGTGTTTTAAATGTGCTGCTATCACCTGCATGTTGCCTTTTCTTATTAAGTTTATGTCTGAAAAATGGGTGACAAAAAAACATATATATATAAATATCATTAAAACGGGGAATAATGTCTTACTGTATATGTAGGCGTTATATGGAAATGTATATTGTTTCACTGCATTTGGAGAGATCTCCTAAGGTAGAGTGTTGTATTTTTATAAGCAGATGGCTTTCTCTTTTCTTTTGATGGTGTGATTTTAAAAATGCAATAAAATGTCATTTTGTGAGCCACGGCTGGATCGCAGACATCTGGACTGACATGGATCCCCTGACAGCCTTTAAACCTCTGTGTTTGATGGTGTTTAAATGTGCAGTACATAGTGTACAGCGTGTAGAAAGCTCACAATGTACCGTGAAAAGACTTCTCAACCACCAGAGAGTTTGTTATGCAGTTTATACTGGGGTACAAAATCAGTCCCTTTTAATAGTTATGGTTTAATTTGACAATTACTGAGCAAGACTGGCCTATTTCAACATTGGATTTGAAGGATATGTGCATAAATATGAAGAGGTAATTTGATTTTAATTCACTACATTAACCAAAAACGGATACATTCGCATCTTTTTGTTCACTAAATCACAATATATGGCTATCAGACCAAAATATAATATACAAATTCCCCAATAAAAAGATATATAAAGAAGGATTGATCTATATCACTTAGAACAGGAGGAGGAAGGGCTTCTATCCATTAATAATGCACGGTATTACGTATGTAAACGTAAAATCTGAATTTGAAGAGAGGTATTCAAGTCAGGAGATAAATATTCAATATTTTAGTTGGAAGTTTTAGTGAAGGAAGAATAAGAAAGCCCCCGAAATAGTACAGAACAAAGCAGCAGTAGCTCAAAAAACACGTTTGTCTTTGAAGTACTTTTACCAATATTGTGTAATTGCTGAGATGGGGATGAGTGCATACATAAGACTGATGTTATATCAACATTCATGTGCTTGAATGTGACTGCAGACTGTATGAAACTGTATGAAATGTAAACGGGGAACCTTAAGACACAGTTTGAGTTTTAGCACGAGATGTGGCTGCAGTACCATAAATGTCCTGCAGGTGGCACTGTGGGACAAGATCATTTGAAGAAGTGTGGGAACAGTTGAAGGAAAACACAGAAGTCTGGCCAACGTGGCATGTTGTACATTGAGGAACTGATAGTTAAAGGAAGTGTATATGTGGCTCGTTGGTCTAGGGGTATGATTCTCGCTTAGGGTGCGAGAGGTCCCGGGTTCAAATCCCGGACGAGCCCTTATTTTCCTACCAACAGGTAAACCTCACCTGGCTCTGAACACAAGAATACTCTTAATACCAATAATGATTAAAGCATACTTTACTTGAACGTTTCTCTCCGGTGTTTAAAACCTAATGTGGAAATGAAATACATATTTTTACTCTATCTTTATCTTTACTCTACACCAAGACTTCAATAAAGTTATCTAAGATAATTATATCTAAAATAAGGACATAATAAAATGTAGTTCAATCTTCCAGTTACACAATTCCATATCATGGTGTTTTTCCTTATGCAAACATATTTCGATATATTTGCGATGAAGGATGAAAGTATTGCAGTTATATGGTTGAACTTAATTGCATTACTTGAGAGTTTAATTACTTCTCTGCTGATAAAAACACTGAGTGCTGCTGCAGGGTTGGTAGACGTGGAGCCTGCTGCAGTACAGGAAAGTGCCTGTAGATGGCGCTCGGCCACCACAAACTGTAAAGAGGCGCTTTGAAGATCAGAAGGCAAAAGAATTCAAGCAACGTGGCATGTAATGTACAGTTAAGTCTGAATCTCACGGTATCAGCTGTGTTTTACGTGGCTCGTTGGTCTAGGGGTATGATTCTCGCTTAGGGTGCGAGAGGTCCCGGGTTCAAATCCCGGACGAGCCCTAAAGTTTTCATGTTCAAGAGCAAAACCTATAATTAAACAGTGAATAATAAAATATCAGGTAACTAACCACAAGTGTGTCTTTACATGCAGAACAAAATGCACTGAAACCACCGTGAAATGAAAGTGAATGAACTCTTCCCTTTCAAACTTACTGTTGCTATTTTTATATCTTATTGAATTTCAATAATTTGTTATGTAATATTATATACATGATGTGATACTGAGTATCAGACTCAGAAATACTTTATTGATCACAGTTGCTCATATTGCTCACAAGACATTAAAGAAACACCTATACTAATAATAAGAATGTTAAAATATGTATTATCATTTGTAACATAATATGTATTCTTAGATAGACACCTATTATACATCTTGCATATAACAGAATAGAAATAATATAATATAAATCGAATTATAAAGAATAAAAATATATAATGAGAGTCTGAAGTTTGTACATCAATATATGACAATATATAGATGATAGAAATATATGTATATATATGACAGAAGTGTAATGAATAATGAATATTACAGAATATTACACATTAACCTGAGTATTGATAAGATAAGATATAACTTTATTAATGCACATTAGTTTAATGACAATGACTGAGGGGGGAGTATATGCTTTATTCATTATCATGCTTCTGTTTTAGCTACATTCAATGTATATTATACCTCAGCAAGGGCTTTAATGTAATGCCATACACACACACTGCTGTGGCTATATATTATTATTATTGTATATATATATATATATATATTATAATAATTATAATATTTATATATATATTATAATAATAACAATATATATATTTATAATTATTATAATATATATATGTACATATATATTATAATAATTATAATATTTATATATATATTATAATAATAATATATATATATATATATATATATATATTATAATAATAATAATATATATAATTATTATTATAATATATATATATATTATAATAATAATAATATATATAATTATTATTATAGTATATATATATTATAATAAGTTATAATATTTATAATTTATATAATAGATTTTAATTGAGTCAACATATGTCTAATCAAAAATATCTACAACTGTGATAGAGAGTAGATACTACTTACCAGCTGGAAATCTGTAGTCGCGATAAGACCCCAAAAAACTCACTTTCCCTCCAGCCCACCTACTTCCGTTCCTGCGCACAACCGGCCGTTCTCCGTTGAGCGTCAGTGCCATGACAACAGGACGATGGCTGCGAGCAAGAGGCAGAGCAATGTGATGTTTGTGTGAGCGGGCAGAAACAAACCGTCGGCTTTAAAGGACTCGCTCGTGTATGTGAAGGTACGGAACCCCTCCGGGAACAACCGGGGAACAACCCGGGCTGGGTGTAGTCTTCAGCGGGGAGGCTTTTTAAAAACCCGCTCTCTTAGTATCCAGGTAACTCGGGAGAGCTAGCTGATTAGCCCGGCTTGACGTTAGCTGCGAGCTAACTTACCTTTAGTGGATTCCCAGATCTGTAACAGCTCCTAAACGGCGTGTGTGACTCATTTACTTTACTTCTTTACGTCGCTTATTGACAGACGACTTATTTACCATAGCATAAGGTCCTCATGGGTATAAAACAACAAACCCACAGGTGTCTGGTCATGTGCTATTAAAAGCCCCCAGAGTACGCAAAGTTGATTAATTAACACCTTCGTTTTTCTTTCTCTTCTCCTGACTGTTGAACTGCGTCTGTAATGTTAGATCTTTCATTCCTAACATTGTGTAGTTGTTAATACACATTATTGAGACTGCAGAGGTCAGTTGTCTTCCTGAAATATACCTAAAAATATACACAATCTGCAGATATTGTGATATATATATATATGGATATTAGAGGAAAAGGTCTTCTGGTTATTGTAATATTTACTTGTATATATGTATTGTCACACCTGGGTAATATTTGTAAGTTGTTCCAAAATGTTCAAATTATGTATTTGGGCTTTGGGAAACAATGAGCGACATTTTTCTAATTTTAGTTTTGATATAAAAGCTTGTAGGGAGGTCAGGACGTCTTCATCACAGGGGACTGAACACGGATCCGCTGGCTGATCTATGTTTACTATTAAAGGCACAAGTTGGATAAAGACCTACTTTGATGCTTTTAATGGACAATTTCATAACTTCTTGAAGCAAATTGTGGAGCCAGTTGTTTTAAACTGGATCGGATAAGTTGCAAAGAGAGTAGTTGATGCACAAAGCCGAGCAAGATAGCAACAGGATGATACTGTAAGTGTATCAGCCTGTTAGAAATAAAGTTGTTATAATAAGAGAGTAGTGTCGGACATCTCTGCCTGCTACGTGTAGAACAGCAACCAACAACACTGTATCATCAGAACAACAGCAAACCGGTTATCTGCTCTTGTAAATGCAGCAGATGTTTGGTGTTTTACTGAGGTTTAATTATAATCTCAACATGTCTTCCCTTTTAAAACTTTAGTCTCTAATGAAATGTCTTGGTGGCAGAAGGTGTAATATTCCTTTAACGCCGCTCGGCTCTGCGTGGCAGTGTGCCGTAGATAGGAGGGATTCCCTCTCTGGATTAGCTGCCTGTTCCACCTGCTCAGCACTTAGCAAGTAGAAAAGCTGCTTGCCCCTCTCCTCACCCCCCCCAACGCCTCAACCCAGAATCCTGGAGTCATGTGACTGGTCTTTCTGTGCTGCCATTGGCTCCAGGTGTCAGTGTGGTGCACATACAGAGCACTGAGAGCCTGCTGGGTGAGCGGACACAGTGGTCCAAGCTGTCACCGGGCCAAACTGGTCACACTGATTATCCAGTGCTTCTGTACGTTGGTGGTTTGATTCTCTGCCAGCAGGATAAATCTGGGAAGAGGAAAAGCTTTCCCCCTGCTGTGTTACCCACTGTTGTGGTGCCCCAGAGCAAGGCATCTGACCACTCAACGTCCCTACAGGGGCCGCTCAGTGAACAGGAGATAATACTGCGTGATAAAAGTAAATGTGTGCCGTAACAATGAAACTCCTCTTGTCCTTTTTTGATACACACACTCTTTTGTTGTGTGTTTCTGTGTTCATCAATCAGTCGATCAGTAGTTTATTTAAAATGTATTGCTACACATTATGAATTGGGAGGACTGTATTTCAACACAACATCTGAGATCTCTCACCTCTTCTGTCTTTCTCTCTTTCTCTGTCTGTCCAATCAGAGGCAGCATGTCTCTGTTCAAGGCCCGTGATTGGTGGTCGGCAGGGCTCGGCGAGGGGGAGGAGTTTGACCAGGGATGCCTATGCGTCGGAGACGTGGACAACAGTGGCACCGGACATGGTCAGTGTGTAGTGAGGAAGTGATACAGACTGCAGGACTCTGCCTGAAATGTGCCCATGTTGAGGTTTTGCTGTTTAATATATGTTAATTATGGGGTTGTGCACACATTAATGCATAACATAATGTATGTTGGCAATTCTCAAAGAATATCTTTTATTTGCCTTTGTGCTGTGCTACATGTTAAATTTCTTTCTTAATCTGAAAATAATCAGTTTCTTCAAATTTACGAGCCACTGCCAAAACGTAGTGGTAGCTGGTTTCCAGTCTGTTATCTGCACATCCATAATGTTAGTGACCAAACACCACAGTTTCACTAATGACAACACAAAGAACAGAAGACACACAGAAACCAATCTGTCCATAATAAGATATTCCTGCTCACAGACATGACAGAAGTGAAACAGAGGACTGTTGGCTTATGTGATGTTTTGCTTTGACTTAATTAGTTTCAGTATTGTTTTATATAACGAGCATTTGTTGATGACGTGAAACAAATCTACAGGCTATGAACTACGGACCACTGTGCCACTGACATCCTCTTTGAAAAAGGATGCACAAACAATGACATTTACCTCTTGACTGGAGTTTAAAGGCGTCAGTTGAATGTGATATCATGCAATGTGTCTCTTTTAATCGGCCTGTGGGAGATTTAGCAGCAGCAGTTACTGGAGATAATAACCTCCATTCTGACTCACAACATTGTCCTCTTCTTCTTTGACTATAACGTTGTAGACAAGGTGGTGGTGGGCAGCTACATGGGGATGCTGAGGATATTCTCCCCACATGCCAATAAGTCCAGCGAGGGAGTTCCTGTGGAAGCCCAGCTCCTGGAAGTCCAGCTTCATAACGCCATCATCCAGGTGGAAGTGGGCAAGTTTGTCTCGTAAGTAGACCTCACAAACCTGGATATGACTTGCCCTCTACCCTATGTGACATTTAATTTGATGATTATTGATGATATGTTAATGCAAGTGTAAATTTCAGATGTTGAATTGAGCATCAGAGCACTGTATTCTGATTTGTAGGAGACTTTTTAATGTTTTCTTTTTCCTTGGACTGTTGAGTTCATAGATATGATAATATTTAGACACTAATGGGTACTAATAATAATAATAATAATAATACATTAAATTATTAGAGGCGCCTCTCTGGGCACTCGAGGACACCGTACAACACCAAAAAAAAAAAAAAAAAAAAACAGCAAGAAATAAGAAACAGATAAGAAAAGACAATGTAGATGGTTAAATGGGGTAGGCAGTTCTGAATAGGTGAGTTTTTAATCTTGATTTGAAGAGTGTGAGAGAGTCCAGGTTCCTGAGGTCCGGTGGGAGTGAGTTCCAGAGTTGGGGGGGCAGAGCGGCTGAAAGCCCTGCTCCCCATGGTGACGAGGCGGGCGGGAGGGACAGAGAGGTGGACAGAGGAGGCAGATCTGAGGGAACGGGAAGGGTTGGCGATGTGGAGGAGTTCGGACAGATAAGGAGGGGAGAGGTTGTGGATGGCCTTGAATGTGAATAGGAGGATTTTGAAGTCAATGCGGAGTTTTACCGGGAGCCAGTGGAGTTGCTGTAGAACAGGGGTGATGTGGTGGATGGAGGGGGTTCTGGTGATAATTCGAGCTGCAGAGTTCTGAACCAGTTGAAGTTTATGGAGGTATTTGTGAGGTAGACCGAAGAGAAGGGAGTTGCAGTAGTCGATGCGGGAGGTGACAAGGCTGTGTACAAGGATGGCAGTGGAGTGGGGAGAAAGGGAGGGGCGGAGTCGATTAATATTGCGTAGGTGGAAATATGCAGACCGGGTGATGTTATGGATATGGGATTGGAAAGATAATGTGCTGTCGAGGATGACACCCAGACTCTTAACCTGGGGGGAAGGTACTGGTTGTACTCACTCTTAACACAGTGCCACTCCCAATAAATCAGACCTGTGCTCTAACACCAGGATCATTGATGGTGTTGCTAATCTCTCATTGCCCCCCCTCCCATCCAGCTGTCTTGGCTGCCTTCTTGTATGTGAAGACTTCAACTGTGTTAGTGTTAGTAGTGCTTTGTAGGTCAAATTGGCATTAGCTCAATGTTCTCTGCCAGGAAGCATCCTTAAATCATCCTTTCACGAATGCAGAGCTCTCGCCTATTGTCTCAGGACAAATAACCGATTACACTCTTCTAAAGAACTAAAGGCGCAAAGATGCAAAAAGACAACGAATTTGAGTTGTTGTACCATTTACAGGCTGTAACAAATGCACATATCCTATCTCTAAATAATGTTTTCAATTAATTAATTAATCATTTAGTCTGTAAATGTCAGAAAATTTGGATTTCCAGAGACTATGGTGCTCTCTTCAACAATTTACAAAGATGTAAAACAGAGAAAAGGATTAAAAACTCACAGTTGTAAAGCCTAAACCAGCACGTTTCATGTTTCTGCTTACTTTATTAGTCACACTGTTTGTTCATGGTTTTTATGATGTATAGTTACAGGGATATTGTCAGGAATTCATTCATGCACACACACACACACACGCACACACACTTCCGTACTGTTTGTTGTTTGTGGTTTCTAATGTCTGTGGCATTGGAATTTAATTCTACTGTTGCAGTCAATCAAAGAGCATCAGCTGAAGGCCTAAAGTGTATATGTCAGGTAAAATAAGACTTTAAAAAGTGTGTATGAAGGTTTAAAGTTTGTTACAAACTGTACATTTGCATTGTCGGCATTTAGTCACTGCTCGTATTTGAAATGGCTTGCTGTTAGTGAGTAGGTCAGAGGTCATTTTTGGAGAGCCACAGAGCTGGTGATGGGGCAGGAGCTCTTCTATGTGCACTCTGGCAACCCTGGCAGCCACATTTCAGTTTGTGTTACATATGTGTACTGCCTGGGAACGAGTCACAGATCTTTCTTTAACTCATGACCTTCGGTGAATTATAAGCATTCATATTATAATACAGCCTTACTTTAAACTGCCAGGCAGAAACGCCCGTTCATAACTCATCACATTGCTTTTTCATTCATAGAATGCTTACCACTACATTAACATGTCTTTTTTTTTCCCCTGCGATGCATGCTAACCCCAAACCACCACGTCAAGGGTTTCTTTCCCTCGTCATGATTTACCGCCATCTATCAGCCACCCGGCAGCCCAAGCATAGTTGTGCTTATAATGTCGGGCTAACCACTGAGTTTCTAGCATAGCTGTCGGAACCCGAGAGCCCCATCCTGCGTTGTTATTGCACTGCATAATTGTATCTTAAGAGCTGACCCCCTCGGAGTCGAGCTCAAGTGAAATGTGCAAATGCCTCCAGTAAAAATGGCTTGTTTTTGCAGCGAAGATGATTAAGTGCCCCCCTCCCCCCCAACCCACCCACAGCCCAAAACTATTTGAAAGTGGGGAAGAAGAAGGAAAGTGAGAGGAATGGAATGATGTGGGATGACAGGAGAGTGGTGATATGTTACTTAGTGGACAGTTTACTTACCTTATACTTTACTGAACCTTGTGTCCTTTAGTAAAACACATTGGTTAACCTGTGAGGCTTTAAGCATGGATCACTCTTACATTAACATTAACATTGTTTGTGCCTTGCTCTTATCTAAAAGGAGTCAGAGGTTCACATGAAACATTATTGCCTTCCTCAGTGAAACATTTAGGAGACAGACAAATATTTGGCACTGATAGTTATGACACTGATATCTATAGTTTTGCTGAATGTGTCATTAAAGACGATAATGTATATAAAGGTACAGGAAACTTTATTTAAAATTCCATTATTCCATTTATCATTTTTATTATTTGTAGGTATCTACATGATGCACTGTGCAAAGCCTTTGACATAAGAAAGGCAGCAGAAATTATACAAATTCACGTTCACTTAGGTTGCTATGGGTTTCCTAGGTAAGACCTACAGATAGACATTAGCAATGTGTGAAAAACATGCCCAAACGCCTGCCCCAAATGAGGCCTCTACTTTGACACACATTCCTAGTAGATAATTCTACTTATTACCTGGCAATTGTTGCAACGGGGGATAAAATTGTTGTCACTGGGTCGACTTCCCAGAATTGTATAATCTATCCTCGTGGGATAACAAATGTCTGTGCTGTGCCTCTATTTCCCAAACTGGACTTACTGGATTGCAACAGCATGCCCCGCTAGTGCAGCCCCTTGCATGCATTTAAGTCTGATCTGTTTTCAGTCTGAACACAGAGGAATCTCACAGCATTAAACTGTATATTTGAGCCAGATGATCCCCCCAAGTAACAGAACCAGAAATACTACAAAGCCGTTTTCAGTGTTTGCAGTTAAAGCGTGGTTCACTCCCGGAAGAATGGAACTACCATCCTTGTTTGCAATATGCGGTTTTGACTTTCCTGTACCTTTTTTTTTTAATGAGTTATGTACTTTAATTTCCCCTTTAACTGCCACAGTTTGTTGTGCAACCGGGGAGGATATGACCATGGAGTTGCAATTCTTCAAATTGGAAGTGGAAACAAACAGTGATGCAAAGACTGTCTGCACTGCCTCAGAATTTCTGGCAAGCTCTCAACAGTTATTGTTTGCTGTGGTGAGAGATTGTGCACTCAGTCTGAAATGTACAGTGAATTAGTCATAAGCGTCTATCTATTTAACTACATGAGGTATTGAACTCCTAACCCTGACAGCCTTACTTCAGCCATTGATCTGAGCACTGCACAGTACCTCCCATCACCTCACCGTGGGTGCACAGGAAGCTTCCAGAAAGCGAGGTTTCTGGGAACAGCTCTGGTGGTTTTGCCTCGAAGGCTTCCCACATCATCACGCTGGAAGCAGAATCCAGCTAAATCAGTCTGTTTTGGAAGACGTCGTGTTTAGTTACCTGCGGTTTTTCGGCACAGCATTCTTCAGAGACTGGTGGGCATTTTGGAAGCTTGCCTTGACAGAGAAGCACGTTGTAAATATTGTCAGGGCAGACCGAGGTGGGCAGATGGTGAAAGGTTTTGTTTCAGCACTGACTTGAGTGGTTTTCCAAGGAAGAAAGAACACTTGTGGGATCCAGTTTTCTCCTCCCTTGTTGTTCTTCTCTCAACAAACATTACAACAGTGGTTGAAAGTTAGTAAGACAGCATTTGTTCTGGGTCCAAAAAGTGGACAGATTCCTTCACTGTGGGTTTGTGGTAAAGTAAATAAGTGAAAATCTAGGATCAGCATCACTGAGACCCTCAGCTACACCTCAGTCTTAACCAATGTTTAAAAAAACCCACCAGCTGTTACAGTAATTATTTTAGAAGCTAAAATATGAATGGATACCACCCTTTAGCTGAGAACACTGGTTCAACCACAGTGGCAAGAAGCCTCTGCCCTGCTGAGGTGTCTTTGACCAATAAACTATACTGTCTGTGGACTTTGGAGAGACAAATCATCCATCATTTTAATGTATTTTCTTGACAAAAAAAAGACGAATGGTGCATTGGAAGAGCATTTAGTTCTCTATTTGAGGTCACTGTGTACACTGTATTGTAGCTTTCATGTATGTTGCAATATCTTTTTCTGTTGTAAGCTGTAACTGGATTTCCTGAAGTCTGTATCCAACATAATGAACAGACAATTGAATTAGGAAACTGCGGCAAAAACCAATATATAAATATATATAATGTCTCTGATTGTGGTTGTATGATGACTATTGTGTAACAGAGAATCTTTCGTTCTCTTTTCAGGTGTTCAGAGCTTCTTCATCTGGCTGTTCTTCACCCCAGGAAGTTGTCAGTCTACTCTGTTTCAGGTAACACACATGCACACAAAATGCTTTTTCTACTATTCCCTCAGTATATTCTCCCACTTTGAATGATTGTTGAGCAACTGTTTCCATCACTTATATTCCTTTAAAAACAAACACTTGTGCGCATGCAGGCACTGCTGGGAATGTGGAGCACGGTGACCAGTACCAGCTGAAGTTGGTTTATGAACACAATCTGCAGAGAACGGCATGCAACATGACCTACGGCACCTTCGGAGGGGTCACAGGTATGCCGACACTTTATTTTGCTGTCTGACTCCTTTTTTTGTAAATTATTTTTTCTTGCTGAGACTGTGAACATCTACATTCACATCCTGCAACCACTGCACAAACTCTAGGATTAAAACTTCTTCTTTGGCCTTCATTTACAAAAACAATGTCAGGTGTGTTAAGGATGTTGCAGAATAGATCAGGAGAGATATAAAAACATCCTGTTTTTGCATAATTACACCTCTTGGTAACACAGTAATGGCACACACATGCAGATAATTTACTACAATGGACTCTTTATATCTACAAGGAACGGTGGCTGGTAGAAGGGACTTCCACCATTTTACCAGGCGTGTGTGTGTGTGTGCAGTTTTAAACCTTGGGAGTGAGGACATTTTTAAGAACAGTTTGGCCGGTCCTCACTTTGGGCTAGAGCTTCAAAGTGCTGTTTGAGGCTTAAGACTTTGTTTTAGGATCCGAGATTTAGTTTTAGGTTCAGTTTAGGGTAAGGATTGGGGTTATGCATTTAGTTGTGATTAAGGTTAAGGTTAGGAGCCAGGGAATGCATTTTGCCAACGAGAGTCCTCACAAGAATGTAAGTACTGCACAAACGTGTGTGTGTGTGTGTGTGTATGAGCGAACATCTGTGCATGTGCCTTGGCAAAAGTGGTAACTGGCAACATTGGACAAATACATAAAACTATAAAAGTCTCTAAGAGGAGCGAAGGATGGAAAGAGAGAGAGAGAGAGAGAGAGGGGTCATATAGCTGCTCTCTCTCTTCAGTCAATTGAGCTTTTGGAAAAACCAAGTAGGGGAAAGCCCTTGAGTAGTCTGCATCCAAGAAAAATACACACACAGACACATGGACACACACCCGGGGAACCCCCTTTAAAGCAGAGAAAATGGCATTTCCAAATAAAGGCTGTATTGTCAAGGTGTGTGTGTGTGTGTGTGTGAGGAGAGAAATTGCCAGACTCTGTGGCCTGGCATGATGGACCCTTCTTTCACTCCATGTTTAAAGAGTCTGTGTCTGTGTGTATGTGCGTGTGTGTGTGTGCGTGTGTGTGTTTGATTGATAGAAAGAACAGTGTGGGCTCATTAAAACCAATACCTTGGCCTGTGCTAAATGCACGTGCTTGGTTCCTACCATGAACCTGTGTGTGTTTCCACGTGCTGTGTTCTCTGGTAATACCACACTGTACAGCGGGTTTCGGAAATGTCATGCAAGCTCTTACACACACTCTTACTCTCCAGTAAACGCACACACACGTACAGTCTTTGCTCCTGACATTACAGACACCCACGCATACGTAAGGTCTGCTTAGACGCGTGTCCATATTTGAACATATATGTATACAAATGCAGCACACACACACTTAACCACACATGATAATCACTCACAGAAATACATGCACACATATAGACAAACATGTTAATCTCCTCTCCCTAATTGATGTCATCCTCTCCCTTCTTGCTCTTCCCTTTTGGCACCACTAGATGGCAGTGCAGGCCCTTGGAATTGCAGTTATTAAATTGAATGAATGGGATCCTGTATTGCCTCTTGTGGGGAAATTCCCTTTTTACCCACTTCTCAAGAGGGAGGTCAGAGTTCAGCTGCAGAACAGCACCGCTGGATCTGGCAGCGATTCATACCTCAAGGACACTCCAGCTGTATGTATGGGGATGTTTGTAAGCTGCTCCTCAGCTGTGATGTACGGCAGAACACCACACAACAATATTTCAAAAACTTAAAACTGTTTTTTGAAGTCATATTTGAGGTTTTAGTAGTTTTTAATAAAGCAGATTACTACCCTATGAAGCTCTGGATAACCAGACCACAAAGCAGCATCACAGTAACAAGATAAATAACCAACAAAGTAGAAATTAGGCTATGATAACAGAAAAAAGAGAAAAGCAAAACAGCTGAAATAAAGAACTGAACAAAAATGGTAGTTATCTTGCAGCCCCACAGATTAAAGTGTGTGTGTGTGTGTGTGTGTGTGTGTGTGTGTGTGTGTGTGTGTGTGTGTGTGTGTGTGTGTGTGTGTGTGTGTGTGTAGTGTTTTAGTTTCAAAACCAGACAGACACATTTTATGTGACACCATAGATACAGGAGAGTGTCTCGTCCTTGTTAAGATGATTTATTTGGAATAATTGGAGAGTGTTTAAGTTGGGGAAGCTGCTTGCTGTTTGCACGTTCCTCACTGTTTCACATAGTTTACATGAAAATGAGCCGATCTCACGGCTGATTGGCTGACGGAGCGCAATCACACACACTTGTAATGATTTGCAGACACATGCAAAAACGCAAAACAGTCACGTACAAACAAACATACAGTATATATCCACAAAGAAACACATGCACACGTGTTTACTGAGTACAGAGTGATGGTCATAGCTCTGAGGCCAGACGAGGCGAATGTCCGTGTGTGTGTGTGTGTGTGTGTGTGTGTGTGTTTCCTAAGCAGACAGTGTGTGTGACAGCAGCCTGCTCTCCAGTGTTCAAATTGTGTGTTTGGATTTGGAAAGCCTGGAGTGTGTGTGGGAGAGTGTTTTTTGAGTCGTGTCTGCTCTTACACGGTGTGTGTGTGTGTGTGTGTGTGTGTGTGTGTGTGTGTGTGTGTGTGTGTGTGTGTGTGTGTGTGTGGGTCTATAATAGCAGCCATTTAGCAGTGCTGTAGGCGCTGTAATAGCAGCTCTGTACTAATACTGCTCTAATAGCTGGGCTGCCTTTGGGTTTGGGTCACATTCAGGCCCACACACACACACACACACACACACACACACACATTCTGAACATGGATTTGCTTTTTCAGGCTTTGGTCAGACGCATATAGATAATACATACACATATAATCACACACACAGGCACATGTACATACACTCATGCACAAAACAAATTGGCACACACACTGCCTGGTTCACAAGCGTTCATGGGCACACACAGTCACATGTACCTACACACTCTCTGTCTGACACACACTCTCTGTCTCACACACAGAGGCCTGCCCACTGCAGTGTGCGGCCAGCCTCTGTGCTTTGTTGGCTGCTCTGTCTGTGCGCTTGTTGAACATGTCATATTAATGACACTAATACAGGCCCGTTTCCTCCGCTGTGTCTGAGCGGCGGTGCTCTCATACAGAGCTCTTTGACACGTTATACCTGGGCGTGGGCGTGTGAAATTACATGTGCGCAAATGCTATTATGGCACAGCCTGGCTCTCATTTTCAGTACGTAGCACTTTTCTTATTATTGATGATACAGCGCCGCGTCGGGCTGCCTGAGTGCGTGTTGTTCTGACCCTGGCACGGCTTTTCTGGGTGGGAAACGAACTCCAGACACCTGACAAATCGGTTAAGTGTTTGTCTGGGAGGAAGGTCCACTCCTCAGGTATTCTGCTGTTTTTGGAGTCCTAACAAGATGAAGTGTGTTTCTATTTAATTTCAAATTTTAACCAAAGAACAAAACATGTTGTCATTTACGTAGGGCTGCAGTTAACAATTATTTTCATTATCAGTTCATCTGTTGACCATTTTCTCAATTAAGTTGTGTGTTCCATAAAATGACAGAAATTGGTGAAAAACGTTGAGCATCGTCTCCAAAAGGTGACGTCCTCAAATGTCTTTTTTTGTCCACAACCCAAAGATATTCAGTTTACTGTCGTAGAGGACTAAAGAAACCAGAAAATATTCACATTTGAGAAGCTGAAATCAGAGAAATGAGAAGAATCAGAGCCAGGGTACAATAAGAAGGACGCAATGAGAAGAATTTTAATACATAGCCTGAGTTCTAAGAGATACTGTCAACACTACAATTGGTTAGAGTTTGTGTACGTCCAGAAGTTTCCACATTACGGACAGTTACACAGTAACAAACACAGCAGACACATAATCGTGAACTGATGACAATGACGAGAAACAGTCGGTCTGTGTTTCCAATATGTTTTAACAAAAGTACCTGGTGCTGTAGACAAAACACACACAGAAACACACACTCCCACATGAATTGAAATCTACCCACACGCAGACATACACACTGATTCTGCAACATTTGCTGTCGGTTCATTATAAAACATTTTATTACGCACACTTCAGGGGTGTGTCTGCGGTGTGAGAGACGTTGTCCTTCAGCTTGTTAACGGCCACCCTGAACTCCGCTCATCGCTCCACACTCACACACACACACACACACACACACACACACACACACACACACACGTGTTTACACAGAATAGGTGTGTAGGAGTGTGCGGCTTTTCTGTCTAAATCCTTGGTGATAGATGTCGAGTGTGTGTGAGTGAGGGTGTGTGTGTGTGTTGCGCTGTAGGTGGCTGTCTCCCTGACCTCTAGTTGATGGCAGTGTGAGTTTTAATAGCGCGTTGAGGCCTAATTATAGTTCTCCGGTCACACAGCCCCACTGCTTTATGGCCGTGTGTGTTGCTATGTGTTTGTGTGTGTGTGTTACGGCTTAGTATGTCCTACATCAGGCCTTTCCTAACAAACACACACACTCTTGTACACATTCATGCCCAAAGCCGTGTGTGTGTGTGTGTGTGGAGGTGTTAATGGAGATATCAGATTCAGCCAGAGGGAGAAACACACCTCACAGCGCAACACGACATCACGGCTGAAATGAAACAGAAGCCATTCACGTCTTTCAGGATCGTTGGTGCTCGTATTTAAATACTCAAAAGCAGAGTCAGAGCTGTCGTAAAACAGAATATGTAACCCAAAAAATGCAATGCCTGACAGTTTGGCCAAATTACATTTCCTTTGCTGCCGAAGAAACAGACTTTATAGACCCCAGGTGGGCCGATGCAGGTTGTCTTTCATACAGAGAAAAAGGCACATGAAGCTTGGTCAAACGAGTTTGGTGGTTCGATGTGCAATTCACGTTTAAAGGCCAAAGTCCTGAATGGTGGAGCTAAAAGTTTGCTGTCACATGTAGATAATTAGGTAAATAAAGGTAATTCATTAATTGAGGGTAACGGAACACACTTACAGACAGTCTCTCCGCTAAGGCATTCATGGTGTCGCACTTGGTTGTAAACACGAAGAATGGAAAAGGAGAGCTTGGGAAAGAAGTTGAAACCCTGCCTACTTTCACACCTCCTCACACCTGGCTAATCGCTGCATGAAGTGATTGTTGGATGGTTAAATTTGAAACCAAGCCAGATTCCTGTTAAACTGCAGTAAAGTTATGGTGGGTAACTTTTATACTTTTAAGTTTTTGCTGAAACTTTAATTATATTCTGATAGAACTACACGAGACAGATAATCTGTGAAAAACAATCAGGTTCCTCCGGATCCTCCTAGTGCTCCTAATGGCATTTGTAAGAATCCACCGGGCCTCAACGAAAACAACCAATTAGAGCTTTTTTTTCACACATTGTCATCTCATGTCAGGATATAATGAAAGAGTTAAAACAAAGTTTCCCATTAAAGTTACCTACTGCAGCTTTAATTCTGGCTTTATTCCTTATTAATCCAGAATTCTTTACGTTTAATTGATTATTTCTGTGGTCCGTAAAATGCCCATCTAAACTTCCCAGAGTTTAAGATGACATCTTCAAATTCCAAAGACTTTTACTTGCTTTACAGCTTTATATAACACAGGAACGCAGCAAATCCTTGTCTTATTGAAACAATCAGTTATCAAAATGGTAGTTGATCTACTCTTTTGTCATTTGACTTATCAATTATCAATCAACAAACTGTTTCAGCTGTTAATAAGTCATCGGGTGGGTCCTGTACACTCCTGATGTACAGAAAATAAGATATTCCTCTGTGTGTGCAAGGCCCCAGCAACAAGCCAGTATGAACTAGAAGATTCTTTAACATATCATAAATATCAACAGCACGTCAGTAGTTTTGGTCTTTATGGGATAAAAGTGACTGAATCGTCTCCTTTGTCGCCCCCCCTCCTCTCTCGGTCAGGTCACCACTCTCTGTGTATTCAGTCTATGGACGGGATGCTGATGTTCTTCGAGCAAGACAGCTACTCCTTCGGCAGGTTCCTCCCTGGTTTCCTGCTGCCCGGCCCGCTGGTCTACAACCCCAGAACAGACAGCTTCCTCACTGTTTCCTCTGCACGCCAGCTGGAGAGCTACAAGTAGGTGTTTTTTTATAAAGCATCCTTAATATAGCCTCAAACATTATTGATAACCATCATGCTCACTTGAAAAAGAGCAAAATCTTTGTAATTAATCAAATTATAGGATACATAGTGAGTGAAATGCATTAATTAAGTAAAAGTGTTTTAATGTTTATTGTGTTTGTCAGATGTCTGTTGTTTGAAGGTAGCAATTTGGTTTAGGATTTAGGTGTGATCATATCAATCAGTTCCTAAAAGACTTTTAGCTTTTCCTTTTCTGGTATTTATTTCATTTTGTTTAAATTGTTTTAATGTTACTGAAGGTGAATTGTGGATGCGCTAATGCACTTAACTCCACCCAACTGGTCATGTACATCAGTGTAAATGCTAAAAGATACTTTATAATGATTTTATTCTAGAATGAGACAAAAAGTACCTACTTTTGCTAAATTATTGCTGAAATCAAAGTAAATTGTATCATGAATTACCTAAAAGGTTATGAGTCATGTTATGTATTTTAGTATTTGAAACATTGTTAGATTACTGGCTGTAAGCTGCCGCAGCTATGATATTATTTGAGGTTACCTGGTGTCATCCACCGTCTTCAGTATCAGCTGCTGGTGGTTAGTGAGCGGCACTGACTAACGCTTCACCATCTTAAAGGCATCTGCTCCCACTGCAGAGCTCGCCTGGACGGACCAAAACAGACACACACACACACACACACACACACACACACACACACACACACACACACACACACACACACACACACACACACACACATTTTGATCGGAAAGTACCCCACTTTAATGTAAGCACATGCACACTTCTCATTTCCCTCTGGCCGAGTCACACAGAGCTTTTAGAAGCCTTGCAGACAGTGTGTGTGTGTGTGTGTGTGTGTGTGTGTGTGTGTGTGTGTGTGTGTGTGTGTGTGTGTGTGTGTGTGTGTGTGTGTCCCAGCTGTTTGTTATCTGGATGCCCCCCACCAGTATCAAGAAATTCTCCAGACTACAAACACTGACTTCACTGCTCTCCCTGGACACACACTCACAAACACAGCTCTGCGATGCACGTTCTGTAGTAAATTACACAGAGCAGACACTGAGTACCTTTACATACACGACAACGCTGCATTACTCATGGCAACAAGCTTGTTATTTCCATTATACCCTCTGGTTTAAATGGGTTGATTTAAAAGTACGGCACCTTTATGTTCACTCTGTAAATAATACATGTTTAGTTTGTCCGGTGACTAAAACTTTCTGCAGAATACATGGAAACATTCAGTGGAAATGTAGAAATCTATGTTAATCCAAACGTGGTGGCCAATTCATTCCAATGAAAGCTGCTCACCTGCCCTAGTTTCTCCTGCAGCCAGTAAATGGGTGCATGAAAATAATAACTGCTCAAATAATTTAGTCAATGGATTAGCCAATTGACAGCGACAGTTTTATTAAATGATTCATCGTTTTTTTTTAATGTATTATATAAAAGCTTGTTGGTTGCTCTCTCCTAATTCACTTAGGTGTTTGAGCAGGTCAGCCACCAACACATAAGGTTGCTGGTACTGTCCTTGATTCCTCATTTCCAAGTGCGTTTGAGCAAGACAATGAGACACAAGTTGATTTTTTTTCTAAGCAAATATCACTTTGCATGTCCAAATATAAGCCAAGAACTCCTGAACAGAGAAACTCCTGCCATGAGCAGCAGCAATCACATTTTGTAATGTGGTTTTCCATTCAGTAGGAGGAATGGTAAAAGGCATTATTTACCTTGATGAAGTTTAGGAGGTGTTCTGGTTCACAGAGACTGTAGTAAGAGATTGGATTTGAAGTCTTTCTGGGTCTCAGATTATAACTTGAGTGTGCAAAACCACTCTTTACCTTTCTTGGTCTGCTTATACAGTACCTTACAACACTCGTAAAGGGTCGGTACACCCAAAGTAAATAAAAACATTCTCACTTACCTCTTGTGGTATCTAGGCCTGCTGATTCACATCTTAAGAGAAATCTTGAGGAGAGAAACTTTTATACAACCAGACGCTGATGTGTTATGGCTTTACCGACTGTTATATATATTCCATATCAGATGACGGGGTCAGGGCTTCACTGACTGTTATACATTTAATATCAGATGACTGGTCAAACTGTTCTGCCTCTCTCAGTTTATTTAGCCTGTTGGACCGTCTCCTACCCTGATGAATGAGAGCTTGATTTGGTTGTGTGTGTGTGTGCGAGTGTGTGAGAAAGTGTGTGTGTGTTGGCGTCAGCTTTGGGATTTTAGTTTGTGTTTATCCATGACACCGAGAGAGCGTATGCATGTAGTGTGTGTGTGTGTGTGCGCTTGTGTAATTTGTGTGCGCACTGTGTGTATGTATATGCTTGTACGATGTATATGTTGAAGGTAAATGAGTGTGTTTGTTTGTGGAGTTTTTCAGAGAGATCCTCTTTCATATAAATGAGAACACTGTTTCTTCAACCTCAGTGTCCTACACTCTACATGATGACTGATACCGCATAAACACACACACACACACATGCACACACATGCACACACACACACACACACACACACACACACACACACACTCCTGCAACTTGGTCCACGTGTGTGAGAGAGCACACACCACGTTCACCACAACACTTTTAAATGGCAAACAAAAAAAAAAAAAAAACAGGAAAAAATTGTTCCCAAGTGTATTTCCCTGCCAATGTGTGTGTGTGCGACTTGTGCTCCTTTCTCATGTGTTAGGCATGCAGGTGAATAATCAGATTTTTATGGCTTTTTTTTTTTATTTTTCTCGAGTACACACAGTGCTTTGTTTGATTTTTACCCTCTTTCATAATACTTAAATCAACATCCCACAAACTACTGGTGGATGGAACTGGACACACACAGTCACATACACACACACACACACGTATGCATGTACAGTTTTAATTCATTCATGCTACTGCATACCCCATCATTAATAAGACATCTAACTGAAGGCTGGAATAGAAATATCAAAATAGACTAAACGAACACAGTTATTTTATGGTGTTGTTTTAGTATTATTAGGTTGAATTTAATCCATTCACTCATGCAGGAGTCGGCCTGTCGATCCATTGAGTGTTGCTTTAAAAGCTTAAAACCACTGACATGTTTAATATAATTTTTAGTCCATTTTCTTTCCCAGGAAATGGTCACGGTGTGATGAAAAGGTTTCTTTACTGGCAGTCATCCATAAAGCAGCTCGTTAGCCTGCTCGCCATTTCTCATAGAAGCTCAGCGGGTACGGCTACTGTACGGATGAGTTCAAAACTATAAATCTTGTGTTGCATTGCACAAATTAAAGTTCAGAACACTTAATTAGCTGTTTTATACGCAATGTTATGAGGAATTAACGTCACTTTAAGGGTTGCATGTTTTAGTCGGCTTTATCTAGGTATAAAACATGTTCAGGCAATAGGATGAGCATTGACAATTTTTTTTTTCTTAACAAAAAATAAATAAATACAAAATAAACAAAGTGAAGGTTGTACTTTATTAAGTACCTATCGTTTTTTTTTGTTTTGCTATAAAACATTATTAGTAATAGAGTGGCTGAGTGCCCTATAATGAAAACAGTACCAAAGCTGTCCTAATTCCATTCCACATGCTAATCCTAAAGAGGGTTTGAGGTAGTGCGTTCACACTGAATGCATCAATAACTAAGGATATGCAAACAAGTAGCACTAAATACAAAGTACAGCTGAGGCTGATGGGAATATTATTAGGTCTGGCAGTATTGGGCAAATTATTGACCTGATAATGGCCCTAGATAAAAAAAAATAAAATAAAAAGAATCACCAAAATTATTACAGTTCATCCTGAGGTGAACATGAATGTCTGCACCAAACTCCTTGGGACTTCATCTAATAGTCATTGAGACATTTAAGTGGAAAATGTCAACCTGCTGCAGCACTAGATGACGATCAAGGGATCACTAAGATTATTATGATTCATTCTCTCTGGACCGGGAAAATTCTATGGCCATTTAATAGTTAGTTAGATATTTCAGTCTGAAACAAAGTGGTGGTTGGACAGTCTTTGGACAAACGTACCATAACATGATCAATAACACAAGGGTTAGAGAGTTCACAGAGGTTAAACATGTAGAACTTGAGAATCCTTATCATACGGACTCCTTCAGGGAACAAAGGCTGTTTTGTGGTGTCAGTTCTAAACAAAAACATGTTAAAGGACAAATTGTTGTCTGCTGAAGGAAGGATGTCTGGTATAAATTGCGAGCGATGCCCATAACGTGGAAGCCGTGTTGGATTATAGCCCTTATAATTTAAGGTAGATTTCAGACCTGCCACCTTTGATTAACAGCAGGTTTGTGGTCCAAATATGTAATACTGAGTGAGAAAACTGTGAGTGGATAAATCAGCAGTTATGTAGTGTTTGGGCTGCGGTTCGGAACCGGGCTGGGTCGGGTTTGGAGCTCTCTGTTCATCCAGGTGTTAGAGGAGAAGGATAGATTCCTGCCAAGCTGCTTCGACTGCCAGCGTCTTACTGGAAAACTCCTGATGCTGAAGATGCCAAAATCAACTGACCACAGATCAGTCTGACCACTTTATCCTCAGCCAGTTGCCAACAGCTCGCTGATTAAAACTGATAGACCGCAGTTCCGGGGAATAGCAGGTCAGCAGCTCGTTGACTGACCTGACAGAAGCTGTAAGAGAGAAGGAGAATATAAGGCGCTAAGTGTGGATTTTGTTAATAAAGAACAAGTTATATGGTGTTCGACTTTATTTAAATGTTAATAACTGATGTGCACTAGAATTTCTGCCCTGGCCTTACAGACGGAATTTCTCTCAGGAAAATAGCTGGTGTTGTTGTGGTCTTGGGCTAGTGGTAAAAGAAACACAATTTGTAACAAGAGAGTTTGAGTTTTTAGACTGACTGTGGAATATCTGACAGCGAGGCCTAAATGAGAAATGCTCCCTGCACAGTGGAAAGTGTCCTTGAGCAAGGCATTTCACTTCCAGCTCCGCCAGCAGCCAATACTGAGTCAAAATAGAAGTAACGAGTGCAGTTTTTTACCTGTCTTAAAGGGAACATTTGTTTTATGTGGAGGTCAAATGAGTGTTGATGGTAAATGTAGTCAATTGAAGCAATAAATCCCTCAGTGCGTGCTATATTGGCCGAGAAAGCTGTTCTGCTCGCGGAGCCGTGTCGACTGATGCCCGCGCCCACTGAGCAAGCTACATTAGCTACTGGGTGATAATCAAAGTTAAACAACATTGCCAAGCAAATTAATTCCTGTAATTAGATTTCTTTTTCAGGCGTAACAAGGTCGATCCTCTAAGCTGAAATAGCCTTTAGTTGTTCCTTGACAGCAACTACATGGATCAGATTCAGATTTTGCAGCTATTTCTTGGTCAATATAGCACACCTTTAGGAATAAAGTGCTTCAATGGACTACATTTACCATCACACTGATTGGACATCCACATTACATGTGGCAAATATTCCCTGTAATGTTCAGCTAAAGTTCAGCTGAAGTTAAGTAAACATTATCAATCAAATATTTTAATCATAACAGAGAGAAATGTTCAATTCATTGATTTGAATACATACAGATTCAATAGACTTAGACAGAAAACAACTGACATCTGACGGGTGACAAACCTTCAAAACAAAGGCTGAATGTGATCCACAGACATTCGGTGTTTGTAAGCAGCGGTCTGTGTCTCTCTGACTTCCAGGTATGAGACTCTGGCCGTGGCCACAGAGGCAGAGAGCAGACAGGATCCTGACCTGCCCCTCAAGACTGGAGGCAAAAGGCTGACGGTGAGTCCTGAACACCTCAGGTACCAGAGAGGGAGCACACCAAACTAGAGTCCAGACTGTTAGTTAGATAAATTCAAATTCACATTTATTGTCATTCATCTACCGCATATATGTTGTGGAAATTCTCAGTAATGGAGAGTAAAAGAGTTTATTGCAATATACAGTCAGTTATTGGCAAATGGACCTCCAAGCTCGTCAGGATGAGAGATGCTGTTGTGAACATATTTCTAAATACAGTCTCTCAATTGTTCATTCATAGCTCTGTCTATTCACAGGGGAGGTTTCAGTCTTAGTCTGCTGAGAAAGAGTTGAAGGCTGTGTCTTGTCTCCCTTCTTCTCCCTTGATAGCGTGTAACAACTGTTGGAGACATATGCACAAATACAAAAAAACAACTTTTTATTAGCCTGTGTTCTTAGCCAAAATCCATCGTAAAGTAAGGCAGTGTACATAATCATAAAACAATAAGAATATATAACTTTCTGTTGTAGTATACAGTTAAATGAAGTGTTTGTCGGGGGCCAAGACAGTCAACAAGAGGTCTGCTGTATGTAAAAGTGCAAAGGCAACTACACAGCATATAACGTGTATTAGATAATGAAATAACAATGCCAAAATTAGTAAGAATAGCAAACAATGAAATTAAAAACTGCTGCAATATCGTATCACAAAGAGATTGTAAAAACTGGCAGCAACACTGTACAATGAAGAGTGTAAAAGAAACATGGCTGTGAATGAAATGAGCCAGATCATATGCCATTTATCCATAAGCTTAAATCATATTGATCTTTATAATTAGTCTGAATTCTTATTGCTGGAGAATGTTGTGTATGTTGGGCAGCGCGAAAGCATAAGCAGCCATGAATGCCAACGTACACATCTCTTTATTCATAGAGCTTACGTGTGTTTGTCCACAATTCTTAAAATAAACCTAAAAATGGGAATACCTAACAAAAGAGATGAATTTAATGACTGCAAAAACATTTTGTGAAGGGTGTTCAGACTGTACATGTGTCACTCTGAGTATGCATCATGCTTTTGAAATGGAAGAAATAAGGGTAGTGTGCTGTAACTCTGTGTGTGTTCTCCTCCAGCCTGACTGGACGTTTGTCCTGGGAGAACAGGCCCTGGACCTCTCTTTGCCCTCCTTCTCGCACTCCTCCTCCTCCATCTTTGTTCTGGGCGAGAGGAACCTCTACTGTCTCCGTGACAATGGCCAGATCCGCTTCATGAAGAAGCTGGAGTTCAACCCCAGCTGCTTCCTGCCCTACACCTCAGGTAACCCAGGATGCTGAATCTTTAGCACAGGGCTTTAGTAGTGAGGCCTAACTATAAAGGGATATTTCACCTTTACAGTCCTCTACTCCCGCACGCCTGATCCAGTTAAGGACTTAAATACAGATTGGCTGAAGCAGATCTACCACGCACTTAACTAGATGTGTAAGAATAGTTTAAAAAGATTGAAGCGAAACCTATAGGAGTCAGAGACATGGAAAGGGATGAAAATCACGGGTTACAGAGTTTAAAGAGGAAATAAAATAAAATCCATCATGTTTCTTTCTTTTGAGTTCAAATTAGCTTTGAATCTTACAGGCAGTGATTACTTTAGAGGTTGTTTTCTACTGTAGAAACAATTCAGGTGATAGCTTCACTGTTCACACAGAGCAAAGTCAAAGGGCATGTTAAATCATTCTCAGGCACTTTAGCATTTGGCAGCTAATTGGGAGTCATCTGAGAACTTGCTGTTCTTGAAGGATTTGGATGCATTAGGTTGTATTACAGAGAACTGAGCACAACCGCTGTGGGGCTAGTGTGAAAGTTAGCCAATGCGGCACTGGTAAAGCTCTGATGTCTTCAACCTGGAGTGAAGTAAAGGGCAATGAGACAAAACTCACCATGCATCAGTGCACCTGCCACAACCAAACCATTGAAAATAAGTGCACAAAATACACAAAAACAAAGTATTTCTGTGCAGTGGCCCAATGCCACATGACTGGCTCTGCAGGAAGCTGGTTTTGGCAGAACGTGATGGAATAACTGGAGTAGCTCTGCTGCATGCATTAAAACAAGAACTGAACAGACTCCTGAACACATTGTAGTATATAAACATATGGTGTAAGATGAATGGATATCGTAATAAATACAGATGTATAAATTTATAGATAGTACATATAATATATTATTGCTGCAGTGAATACCGTGTATGTCCATATTTGGTGATTTTTCAAAGAAACTGAAGGATTCAAAACTGACCATCGTAAAGCTTAATACGAGGCTGTTGTCATGATAAGCAACATTTTGCAGATACACAATTATGGTATAGATACAACAACAAGTTAATGTTCAAACACAAAACAAAGTGAATTAATAAATGATTTTCATTTCATTATCATAAGGAATATGCAGGATATTGAAATCATAGGCATTACTCTATTGTACATGAAACAACACAGCTACAGAGCTTTAATGGGTTCCAGACCCTGTCTTCACCTCTGATATGAACAGAGAGGGACACTGGCTACTGCTTCCTATACACACAACGGACAAGATTTGGTTTTTAGTTACGTTAATCCCACTGCGCCTGCCAACAGATCTTGAAAATCTTCTCCAGCTTACTCACTTCTCTTCCTGTTATAGAGGGAGGAAAAAAGGAGGCAGGAAACAGAACAAACTGAATGCAGGCTCCAGTGTCACATTAACTAAAAGCTTGTTCCTCACATGCAGTATGGATGAATTTTCTCCACACATACATTCTCATTATTCAATAATTAATGATCAGGAGTGCGACCGTTTCAAAATTGCAGCTTGATTGCGGCAATTTAGAAAAGTAGACATGAGAACAAACGCGAAAAAATGTGCATGAACCCTTCAAACATACTAACACACAGATGTGATCTAATCAAATCTATTAGTTTAAGCTCTACACTTATTAGTGAAGAGCCACCTTCTGTTGTATAATGATCTAAAAAAAAACCACCAAGTTCTGAAAAACTCATTGATTTACAGAAAACTCATCTGGATCCTGAACATTACTTCTATTTGGGACATTTCAAGCCTATGTTTCTGTGTTTCTGATTAATCTTGCAGAGGTTGCATATAACTACACTGCACTAGGTTTTACCCTAAAACAGCATCACTCTCTTTGGTTCTGCCCACTTCATTTACCCTGGCAGCCAGGGACAAAAACTTTAAAGTTGTTTATCTTTTGATACAGAAGGAAAGGGGGAAAGTGGTAGAACTTCTGCGGCCCGATTCTTATCACCACAAGCAAAATTAATTATCCAGATATGGTTGGACCTCCAGTACGGTGCTTAAATACAGCAGAATAAAAGTTCTGTGTATAACCTTTTGAGCATGGAGCAATAAACAACCTTTTTATGAGCAACAAAAATGTTTCTGTCTGGTTCAGTTTACGCAACAATGTACCACAGAACCATTTTTGTGAGAGTATTACACTTGATCTGAAATACACTAGAGAGCTGACAGATGGAAAGAGAAAAATAAAAAAAGGATGTGAAGGAAAGCAAAAAATAGATTGGAGGAAGGATCCAGAAGGGAGAATTGATGGAGGGATTGCAAGAACGGCCAAGAGCTTTCTGGTGATATCTGTTTTCAATTTTAGAATTAAAATATCTCTGCTTTCAAAGTGCCCGTCACTATCTGTTCCAGACATTATTTAGATTATTTAAATTACTCTTGGAAATCAGCTATAAATTCAATACATGATGTGCCAGCACAACAAAAGTAGCTTTTATTGGGACATGACTCCTGTCAACAATGAAAACCACATAAAAATCTCCACATGGCTGGAAGACGGCAACTCCTGGGATCACTCTGCTGCTGCTGCGGTCTTCTGTGTCCATGTTTGGTCTTTGGTTTATTGTGAGCAGGCCAACATTTAGTGACACTGTGACTGTCTGAGGTGCCACCCAACGTTCAGTAGGGGTTATTTTATGGTGCTAGGCCATTTGGAGAACCCTCATTGTTGAGAGTGTAGTGTAGAGGAGGGCAGACAACCGTGATCTCTTGATTGTTTCCTAACGCTTTCCTTCTGGCCTCCAGCCTCACAGCTGCCTTTGCTGGACCACTGCCCCCGCTTTCCCTGTCTCCCTCCCTCCCTTACTCCGTCCTTCCTCTGTCTGTCTATTTCTTTCTCAGATAACTTTATTGGCTTGAGTGCTCATCAGAAACGCTCTAGTTCAGGCTAAATCTCTTGGTTTGAAATAATAATTAGGATTCTCCTCTTCTAGAATCAAGAGAAATTGATGACAGATTACTTTGGATTAGGGCATGACAGCTCACTAGATGATTTGATGAGTATGGAAATTTAAAAAATGACCACATAGAAATCACTCAAGAGCCATTTAACATTTCTAGAAAACAAAGATGAAAGACCTGTTATGATCTATGATGAGGATCTACTCCACTGGCTCTCAAACTCTGGTACATTTACCACTGTTGGCATGCAACCTCTCACTAGGGGTACATGTAGGAATGTCTCAAATATATTCTTTTAATGATTGATTTTAAAACATTTTATACTATCAAAGTACTACAACATTTCCACTGAAAATAAAAGATAAAATCGCTGGAATGTAGTTTCAAATAGGTTTTCCATTTTCTGAAATACTTTGTTTCAGTACTCGCATACATACATGATGAGTTACGAGCTAAAATTTGATGTAAGATAGTAAGCTGGGGTAAAATGAATGTTTCAAAAACACTGCAGTCATGGCTCCAAGCGGGAACTATTGGAAGGAGAAGTGTGGATCAGGAGTACTCCTTTTTCCACCAAATTAGCTCTGGTTCTTGAACCAGTTCGCTTCAGGATTCAACAATAAACAATCTTGTTAGGAATAAACCTGCCTCCTGCGTGAACTGTCCGTAGCTGAATAGAGTTGGCCTACACTCCTGTATTTTGTTCATGGCGGTGGTACTTGGAGAGCCTAATATTTTCTGAGTTGGTATGCGTTGTAAAAAGACAGACTGTCCATCATTTTGAAAGGTTATTTTTGGGCTCTCTCGCCTTTACTGGACAGAATGTGTGCGAGAGGCACAAAGGGACATGGGGAACATGGGGCGAAAGAGGGAGGAATGACATCCATCAACTGTCCCCGCCTGCAATCGAAGCAGGGACGTTGCGAAATTGAGAAATTGTAACAGACATATGGGGGAGATGAGAGAAGGAAGAGAGGGATGGGGGCGATGCAGAAAGACGGGGAGTGGAATCGAGTTAAACTAGGGGCAGATGGTGGAAAAATCTAAGAAGATAAAATAAAGTGGTAGAAGAAGCAGGTGAACAAAAAAGGGCAGAAAGCTGATAAGTTAAGGAGGGAACAAGAGAGTAGTAGAAAAGATAAGGTGAAAGAGAAGAAGAGAATGTCGAGATAAGAGCTTAAGATTGAAGAGTAACCGAGGAAAGTATAGTAAGAGAGGAGCTGATGTTTGGGAAATGCTCAGCTCGAACATGTACTCGTAGATTGAACCTTTATAATTAGGTTGTAATTATAATGCTGATGCTGAGATAGAAGGTGTGTGTTTGCTTTGATGTGGCACCAACACACACTCTGTCATTTTGACCCCTGCACTGTACCACCCTGCTGACCGCTGTTACTATATTATAACTTGTGTATTCAACTGTGTGAGTGAGGCGTGTTTGTTTTGCGTGTGGCCGTCACCTCAGATCTCTCTAGGTGGTAACTGCGCCATTGGTGGGAAGGACTGGACGTGTGTGTGTGTGTGTGTGTGTGTGTGTGTGTGTGTGTGTGTGTGTGTGTGTGTGTGTGTGTGTGTGTGTGTGTGTGTGTGTGTGTGTGTGTGTGTGGGGGGGGGTGGGGGGGGGGGTGGGATGTGAGAAACATAAGTAGTAAAACACAAGTAGTATTTATATTTAATGTTTCTAGCCATGAGTCACAGGAGAAAGTGTATATGTAACTTTAGTTATATATACACTTATAAAAGCTGACCTTGTCTTAAAATGAAAGATCTTAATGACAAAATTCTATATACAATCCAGATGTGAGATGTGAAGAGATGGATTTTTCTTTTACAGGACAGAACAGGTTGCACTCATCTTAAAGGGCAATGCCACCCACCGGATTAATTTGTTATTTCTGTGCTCCATGGTTGAATTTGTGGATATGTGCGGCAAAGCTAAAAATCGGAGGTAAAACAAATCCTTGAATTTTTGCCGTTATGAAACTGAGGCTGGGTTTCTAGCCATAAGACGCTTAGTTAAATTATCACAGCAAAGTGAAGTTTATATTGTAGTACTTCTAGCAGGTATGACACAGAATTTGAACCTCATTAGATTTTCTCATCAGTCATTTATTATTTTAAGACTTATAATTCATTTTAGGTTTATTTCAGAACATAGTCAGACCAATGGATCACCCTTCCCAGTACATACTATACAGATAAACCTACCTGGGAATAATAATATAAATTAGAAAATGCAACATGTGCAATTACATGTGTATTTGCACACTACTGTACAAATGTAAGTGAAAGGAAAGAAGGGTAAACATTGTGGTAGTCCACTTCAATCTTATTTTTTTCTGTAATTCAGTAAAAAAGATATTTATTCACATCTTCTTCGTGCCCTACTAAGGATAAATCCAGACTGAAGTAGAAGTTAAACAACCAGGAAGGAAGAGGTTCATGAAAGCTCTCTCGCTTTATATATGGAAAGTCATAGAAATGTGTTTGAACGTTTCATCAGGATAGTCACTCTGTGGTTTTAGTAATGTGAGCCTGACGCTTTTTATCCGTTTCATTTTAAGTCACTTCCTAGAGAAAATTAACTAAATGTCAAAAGTGCAATTAGACCGTGTGCATGTGACGTGAATAGGCTCTGTTCTTCTCTCGTTCTTCTTTAGTGACGGATGGCACGACCAACCTGTTGCTAGGTAACCACACCAACATGATGCTGGTTTACCAGGATGTGACTCTGAAGTGGGCGGCCCAGCTCCCCTTTGTGCCCGTGGCCGTTCGCGTCGGCAACTTTCCGTGAGTACAACCTCCAGCAAAACACAACATCTGATGTGACAGTTACAGATACATTGGAGAACCACAGTCAGTTGCCATGACAGCTGCCATGACATTTAACCAACCAGTGCTATCGCTAAAGCCAGCTAGACAACAAGGTCATTCATATGAGATCAATGACAAGACTCAGTGGTGTAGTCTAGTTTATTGTAGTGGGTAAACTGTGATGATTCCCTCCCAGCCTCGTACACACACGTCCCAGACCGACACCCCATAAGCACCACCACACTCACTAACGCATACAGTCGGCTTCATGCATCCACACATAATTGAAAGCATTCTGAAAGACTGGGTATGTGTTATCAACAATTTATTATAAGCAACACAAGCCAATAAACTGATCACATGTTTTCTATATAAAATCTTAATCTGAGAAGTAACTAGTAACTAAAGCTGTTAAATCAATGTAGTGGACTAAAAAGTTAAAAAAAAAAGTAAGAGTATTTGAGTAGTGGAGTAATACGGGAGTATTTACATTTTATGCTACTTTATATTTCTAGTATAAAGTAGCATAAAATGTAAATTCTCAAGTAAACAACAAGTAAATTAAAGTGTTTTTAAATTCCCTAGCTTGACTCTCAGTCCACAAGGCTGGCCAGTTCTCATCTAAAAGAAACAAGGAGATATACAGTGGGATAAAAGCATTGTATTCTGTTGACTACTGCACCCCCCACACGCACGCGTGCACACACACACACACACACACACACACACACACACACACACACAAAGAAGCGCTCAAGGGGAGGGAAAAAAAGAGCTGTAGAGTGCACAGGGTGAATTTTATGAATGGAGGGGGAAAGAGGAGACTCACTCCCCTGCAAAATGTATTTTATTGCAGTTATGATTTAAATAATATTTGCGAAACAAAATCACTGAAGTTAAAGTTCTTTCACAAAACTATATTGTTACGGATCTTTGCACATTTTTAAGTGGGTATACGGAAATCCTGGAGCTTTCTCAGTGGGTATACGACATATACCTGCCTATCACGTAGACTACACTGACAAGACTACTAGAAGACTACTAATGGCTAATTACTGTGCACTCTGGACAGGGGAGTCAATTACAGGTCATTGACAGTGTTGCATGTGAACTTCTTAACGTTACGGTAGATCTGATTACGGTGTTTATCTTTCAAAATGACGGTGGTTTTTGGATTTTCACTTCGGTCACTGATGGAGAATATTCAGTTAACATGACTCCCGGTTTTGTGTGTTTTTCCACACAGAGTTTCCTCCTCTCCTAAAAGTTTGATCTCACAGGAAATGGCAAATCACACAACTTTGTGTATACACCACACACGGAGAAAGCTTGTAGACATGCTGTCACTGGATGGACATTTTCTGATATAATCACACACTCACATATGTGTGCATTTACACTACACAGGTAAATGCACACACACACACAGCAGGTGTGTTGTTGTGTTTATCAGCTTGTGAAATCCAGCGTGTGACTTTTGGCAGGAAATGACCCGACAATGTCTTCCAGCTGGCCAATCAGAGCTGAGCAGGGAGGGGCCAGCTGTAGCCAATCATTTATCTTTTCCCAAACAACTCCAATCAAACCGCAATTTGATACAATTACAACACAAAACACAAACATGGCTGAAAAATGATGTGGTTTCTGTGTGTGTGTGTTTTAGATGCAGGAGATAGTCTGTGTCTGGGTAGCTGTTTGGTTTAGTTTGAGGCTGTGTTGTTTTAACGCACTTGATAGTCCTCGTTATGTTCAGTGTGTTGGTGGTACACTGCAGCGTGGGAGAGGAACACAAACACACCAATAAGCACAAAACAAACACACACAAACACTCCAACAGCTCACTGTGAATATCTGTGATTTACAGCAGTGCTCCAGGAGTCGTTGCTTTGTTTTTTGGGAGGCAGTATTGAATTTTACTACTTAATTCTGCCAACTGTCCACACCAACTACCAAATTTGGACCCAATCTGAAACAGACTCGTGGAGAACCTGGCATGCATAAATTGAAAAAAAAATCCATAACAGCCCAACGAGTATTGGACCCAATCAAAAAGGAATTTGACCCATAAAGAGAGAATACTAACACTGGCAGCAAAATGATGCGCCAAAAATTAACCAGCAGCAGCAGTTGAGAAGAGCAGCAATAGTACAGTACAGTACAGTACAGTACATGCAGTACTTGAAATCCTTAAAAGTGTTTTTGATTTACACCAGAAACAGATCACTTCAGCACATGTCCCAAACGTCCACCCCTCTGTAGCATTACCTCCCTGTAGAAGGTGATGACAATAATTGTCTTATCCACGTCATATTTTATTATCATTGTATGAGTAAATACTCACAGTGCCATGGTTAACCTTTTCACATAGATACTGGTGAACATGGCGGTGACTAAGCTTTTGGATAGACCTGCAGAACTAAACGCCTTTTAAAGTTTATGAAGTTCCTGCAGTTTTGTTGCTCTTATGGTAAAGGTTAGGTGTACGTTATATAGTAATTCATATGGTATTTCTGTATCTACAGCAAACATCTCTAACAGCAGCTGTTATGCGTTTCCTCCAGTCTATTTGTCTGTTTGCATTTCTGATCTAAAGTCTGTCTCTCACAAGTGGTGGAAACTAATTTTCCAACCTCCCTTATATCTGGTGAAACCTCCTCCTTGTCGCTGTCGCCGTCGATATCGATATCTGTACATTTTCAGAAGGTCAGAGCCTTTCCGAACACAGTTGAAACATACCATTCAACATTTTGTCATATCATGATCACAGAAATACCCTGAAATATTATTATACGGCCATATTAGCCACTCCTAGTGAGAGTTATTGTTTTTCTGAACGTGTGTGTCATTCTACAGCAGTTTGTCATGTTTGTATAAATGTATGTCTGACCCCATTTAGTTACTTCACATGTCTTGGACGGATCGGATAGCGATCTGATCTTAAAAAACCTACGTGTAAATGCATCCAAGTAGCTTTCAAGACGGATTAAAAACCTCTGGAGGTGGTTTGAGATGCTTCTAGCCAGATGTTGAAAAGGTGTAAATGCATCCGTCCCTCCAAGACACATGAGTAATCTTTAGCCCTCTTATTGTGTAACTACATCACTGAACAAATATCCGTTGACTGGGTTTCTTAATACATTCATGGTTATGGATAGTTGTTCGCTAACACTGTAAGAAAGACAGATTGCAGTCATATTTGTGATCTGGCCAACAGAGACGTATATACGTGACTAACTGTAAATGAAAGTGTCTTAAATCTCATCTGGATTTTATCCCAATACGAGACACTCAGAATGACAAGTGTAAATGGTGCCTGTGTGCCTGTGTGCCTGTGTGTGTGTGTGTGTGTGTGTGTGTGTGTGTGTGTGTGTGTGTGGTGTGTGTGTGTGTGTGTGTGTGTGTGTGTGTGTGTGTGTGTGTGTGTGTGAGAGAGTGAGTGTTTCCGCAGCAGTTAAAGTGAAAGTTTTATGCCCCCTCCGACACCCTCCTGTGCAGGTGTGGAGCCAGCCGCTGCTCTAGACCTGAACCCCCGGTGTGTGTGTGTGTGTGCGTGCGTGCGTGCCTCCCTCTCTGGACTGGAACTACAACACATCTGCAACCAGTTAACACACACACACAAACACAGTTACCATACATTATTGCATCACTCAGCATTTCCTCTCCCTCTTTCCATCTCGTGCCATATCACAAACCGGCATTGAACTCTGTGTTCTGTTTCCATCAAAGCATTAAACAAACTGTAAAGCAACAAACTGCCAACACCACCAAAGCTGAACTACTGAAGATTTTTTAGACACACAATCCGAACAGATAGGACACTAGCTAAAAGTATCAGTTTTGCATTTTGTTGAGTTAACTCCTCTCCTCTCCTCTCCTCTCCTCTCTCCTCTCCCCCCTCCAGGGAGTTAAAGGGAGTCGTGATCAGTCTTAGCTCTGGTGGTCACCTCCTGTGCTCCTACATGGGTACGGACCCCTCCTTCTTCTCCACGCCCAAGGTGGACGCCAGGGAGGCCGACTACGAGCAGGTGGATGCTGAGATGAAGAAGCTGCAGAAGTTCATCAGAGAGGCCACCAGGACTCAGGGTAGGAGACTGTTGGCTAGAACAGACAAGTGGGCACAAGATCTTACAGCAGAAAGTTTTAAATCATTTAGTGTTTTTTAATTTACATTACTTCAGTGAATAAAATATCCAAAATAAAGACAAATGTCTGTCACAAGTTCCCTAAGCCCAGACTGAGACCTTAAAGTTTTTTTTTTAGGGAGTTTAAAAAAAAAAAAAAAATTTTTTAAAAAGTTTAAGTGATGAGAATTTATGCTGTATTTTTGCTGTTTAAATGAAAATTGTTATTGATTCATCTTCTTTTTATAGACAAATTGACTTATCGCCTGTATTTGTGAAATATTGACTGAAGAACATCATTGGTCCAGTGTTTTAGGGTCAACCTTAAATGTTGTGATTTTAGACATCCTGCCTAAAACCGACGCTGAGGAGGACCTGGTTGTTACAGCTGGTGTGTGCTCCAACATGGACAGCCAATCGGTAAACACACTTAAAACACACACACAGACATTGTGTGCACATTTACAACTACAGGCGCAACCACAGACAGACTTATCATTCCCTTTGTGTCTGTCTACAGCAAGCTCTGATCCAAGATATCGACGGTATGCCCGTCCCTTCGGTAACCGTACAGGTGAGCCGCACACAACACCACAATTTCCCTTTCCTTGTTGACTCTTTTCTCTTTCCCCTGTCCCATCTTGCCCCTTTCTTTATTTTTATTTCCCTACATTTTCTCCTATCTTTTTTCTCTGCTTTTGTTTTTGTGTCCTTGACGAACCTTAACCAGTGTTTCTCTCTCCAGGTGAAGGTGAAGGCCAGCTGTGTTGTTCATTCCTCCAAACTGACCGTCAGCATTCAGCCTCCTCTGGCCATCACTCAAGACCAGTTTGTCCTGGAGCCCATGGGTCAGTATTTCTTTTAACTAGTTTGTCCTCATGTGAAATGTTCTTCTATCTTTCCCGAACCAGCGCACTATTACTCTAGATAATCCACAGACCTATTATTTTATACTAAAAAAAGAGTCATGATGAATAAAATACATGATGAATAGATCATACTTTTTGTAATTTTAGTGAACTGACACTTTAAATCAAGACTGAAAATCGATGAAAGAAAAGTAAAACGAGACTGAGGCCTATGGGAAGCCTATATGGCAGAAGGACATACATCACCAGATAAATCAAAACTTCATTTTAAAGAATTCCTTAAGATAAAAGAAACGGCAAAAATAATAATAATAATAACCTAACCCTAACCCTGTAATGTCATACAATAGCTCCTTTAATTTTTAAGGAAAATCTCGCATTGCTTTATGCAGCTGGTTTTGTATAAGATCTTCCATCATCTAATGTCATCAATCACTTTTGTTCTTTCCCAGCCTTTCTCTGTCACTCACTCTCTCAATCACACACACACATGCAACACACACAGTTTGTCAGCTCCTCTCCTCTCCTTCATATCGTCCTCCTCCACAGTCCAGACACCACACACACAGCGAGTGACTAAGTGAGTGAGAAGTGTGTGTTGGTGTGTATTTGTTCAGACCTTATCAGCCTTTACAGTGTGTGTTCTGTCGTCTGGCTGTCGGAGAGACTCGGCCACCTCAGGCAGATGGCGGTAACTTTGATCTGAATTACCCAGACACTGCGTACACACAACCTCCTAACCCCAAACACTGAGATCTGCCGTCGGTTCATTAAAAGAACATCACCCATCCTGTAACACAGCGTTTGCCGTTTAGTTTTAGCTGTTAACGCGAGTCTGAGCGTCCTGACTGTTTCGTCCGTTTGACTCTTTCCACCTTTTGTGTGCATGTTGACGTGCCAGCGTAAATTTACAGTGTGTGTAATGCAAACCAGTTGGGAGAGGCTTTTATCAGAGGCTCCTTATAGTACCATGAGAACACACGTTTTAAAAAATCTGTGGCCCCATTGGGAGTTAAACCTCTAACCCTGGCGGTGTTGGTGCCTTGCTCTGCCTGTTGGTGTACTTATAGGAGTGGGATGCTGTCTGTGTGAGATCACACCTACAGTTTGTTTTCTGTGGTCTGAACCAAGAGTGGAAAAGTTTCCTTTGTTGCATTCTCTGCATTTGATTTTGCTTTAAGCTGCCAAACTATATGACTTGGAAAGAAAAGTCATGTGACTCATGAGTAGCTTCATTATTAGCAGAGTTTCTATGACCTATGCTGCCAAGTTAAGATTTTTTCTGAAGACAAATTGGTCCAGTCCTCCTTGTCTTTCTCGTCTGTTGTTTTCATTTAAGAAAATATTACTAAGAAGCTGAGCATCAGTCCATGCTTTTGTTATGCTTGGCTTTCTAAGCTGCCATTTGGCTCCACGTTACCCACGTTTTGTCGCCTTTTTTGGTGTAGTTATTTTCGGGAGTGAAGCGCACGTTCACCCGATTTCAAATGCCTTTGGTCTTCTTAGCAAAACAAACTAAACTGAGAGCGTTCTCTGCAGCCGTCCAGAAAATCGGGCTGAGGTCCTTCTAAAAACGGAGGTCGTTTGGCATTGAGCGAGTAAAGGTGGAAATCATCATAACATCTGTCAATCAATCACATCAACTATTCCCACGTATCTCTTACAAAACAGTTTTGGAGCCACTGGTGTATATGAGATCATAGAACAAAATACACATCTACTGTAGGCTTCATATCTTCTCATGCTAGAAAATTTGGCTCCTTTGAAGGTGCTGCTGCATTAAGACAATGCATGTCCACAGGCAGTAAAGACAGTAATGCAGTAATGAGTGCCTCCCAGACCGCTGAAGAAATCGGACAGTGTACAAAAGCAACAGCTCCAAACATTGTTGGTGTGAATGTAGCTTTTGTTTTCCCTCTCACCACCTTTTTTTCCCTTCATTTTATTACTTTTTAAGATCTTTGTTGCTTTCATCCCGAGCGACTTCCAGTAATTGCACCAGGGGAATAAATCTGAATCCCTTTTTATTTCTCAACACTACAGGAATGTCATGGCTGGACCTCCGGGTTGGGTTGGAATTTTGCAATTTACTATTTAGTACAAATAAAATACTGTCATATTGTCTTGAAATTAACCAGATTACCACTATGAGGTTGTTAATCCCACTAAATATTTTTCAGTAGATGACCATATGTCAAATAAAATGCTACAGGTTATACTGACATGACGTGGATGGTGTCAGTACTTATTTTTCGAAGGCATGTCCGCAGGCACAGAAGCTGGATCAGCACCAGAAAAATGTCATTTTTTTTCCTCCAAAAACTACTCTCGACATTTGCTGAAACCATCATCCATCAGAGAGGAGTAGTCACAAAGCTTTTCGAGAAGGACCAGTATGGATTGTGAATTTATGACTTCAAGATGTGAGCCGCAGTCTCAGGCGGTTGGAACCCCATCCATTTATTGTGAGCCCTGAATCAAACTGACCACTTCTTTCCCATGATTCATGATGCGTCTATGCTGAAATGTAATGCGTTTTACCACAGTGCATTCTTATCTGTACATATACTGTACGTGACCTCTGCAACTGTTAATTCAAACATGATGCGCTTTTCTCACAACACGCAGTATATTTCCTGTAAAGTCTTATGTCAGTTCCTTCCATTAATAATGGTCACATATTTTATATGACTTACATTTCACATTTTGACATATTTTATAATACACGTGTTTTGTATGTATTTTTTCTATGCTTGAATATGTCTGTGTCCATATGTTCAATATTTTATTTCCGTCATACAACATGTTAATGTTGGATTGTAAATTGTTTATATCTGCATTTGCATTTTCTCATTAATATTGTGAAGAAAGCTAATTTGGCCATTTTTACATTTAACCAGGTTTGTAATTGGCTTTATTATTAAGTATTATTATTATTATTATTATTATTAATATAATATTACGTAAGCAAGTGTATGAGGAAGACTCAAGACAGAGAAAGTCTTGCTGTGACAGCAGGGTTGCGGGATGTAAAGAAGGATCATAACATAAAATTATACAGCTGCGTATTCAAAACAATTGAATCGGAATTTTGTTTAACTTCATCAGTTTCCACATGATGCTAAGTGAAAATGGTGGATCAACAGTAAACAGTAAATATTTATTACTTTCACTCGTCTCTCATCATGCAACATAAACTGTAAACTAAACTGCTGAAAGAACTTGGTGCATGAGCTGTGGCAGCTTCCATGTCTGAACAGACAACAAAAAAGCATGCCAACAAAAACTCAAAGGTAATCAAAAGTAAATTTATTGAAGAAGATGCTCCCAAAAAAAAAAAAAAAAAGTGTCTGGATTCCTCCGCTTGGAGTTTTTCTTCTTGGCAGCAGCTCTCAACGTTTCACTGTTTGTATGGAAGATCAGAGGCTGTGACTCACTGCACCGTCACGTTTACGCCACTAAAGAGACGCTTTGTTTACAGGAGTTTAGGTAGCGGTCAAACGGGTCAAATTCAGAAGCCTCTCTCACACACTCACACACACACACACACACACACACACACACACACACACACACACACACACACACACACACACACACACACACACAGAGTTACAGACATACACACCCAAGTCATATAAATACTTTCACATATATATCCATGGACACATCAAGTATAAACACGTGTCACCCCAATGTACTGTTTAAATATAGACACACACACTTGGAGTAAAATAGCTGTGTGCGTGCGTGCGTGCGTGCGTGCGTGCGTGCGTTCGTGCGTGCGTGCGTGCGTGTGTGTTTATGTCACGCTCTTTTGTCTTCCTGCACACAGAAATCTGGCGCTGGCTTCCACGAGTCAATCAACAGCTCTCTACTGCGAAACATGAGAGGCACTGAATACAGACACACACACACACACACACACACACACACACACACACACACACACACACACACACACACACACACACACACACACACACTTTGTCTTCTTTCTTTCTTTCTTTCCCTCCACTCTTCTCCTCCTGTCCTACCTAAGTGACCCCTTGCTGGCCCGCTTTGGCCCAGAATGGCCTGGCACAACTCTGAAGCAGCAGGACCACCGTGGCTGACCCCTACTAGTCAGATTTGGCCCCGAACCGAGTATTTCACATCCGTTACAGTCCTGGAAAATTAGGAAAAAATAAATTAATGGAGTCTCGGTGAGTTTTAATGAATGCCGGTACTTGGCTCAGAGGAGCTGGATCCCAGTCACACAGTCAGAGTTTACTCTGTGATTTTGTCCAGAAAATTGCAGCTCGCTTTATGGATTGCAGGGGAAGTGGCTGAGCTGTAGATGGAAGGCTGCCTGGTATGAACTATGTTGCTGCATTTTGCAGGCTGATGTAAATCATACACCAATAAAATACAAAACAGTAAAACAATCATTTCCATTACCCGGAAATGTTTCATTATGTTAATATTTCACTGTTGAGGTGCAAATAGTTTGCTCGGTTCGGACCTCTGGAATGTCTCAGTGGTTCAAGTTCAACTTTTGATAACTGTTTTCTGGCTGGAAAAACAATCAAGGCAATTAGAGCTGTGTCAGTAAAATTAGGAATGGGGACATCATCTTTATGTGCCAGAATCAGAAAAATGCAGACAACTGTGGATGAGAGTTACGCAGCTGTACAGGTTGGTGTAAATCAACCTACTGAAATAACAACTCTTAAAGGACCAGTGTGTAGGATTTAGTGGCACAGAGGTGAAGTTGCAGATTGCTACCATTTGAATACAGTTCAGCCTTCCCATTGTGTGAGAGAAACTACAGCCCCCGAAAAACTCAAAAATACTATGAAAAGACCATATCTAGAACCAGTGTTTGTTGGTTTGTCTGTTCTGGGCTACTGTAGAAACATGCCGACCTCCGTAGAAAAGAGGACCCGCTTCCACCTGTAGATAAAAACTGCTCATTCTTTGGTAATGAAAACACAACA